GACGACGCAAACACATCTGGGATACTAACGATGCGCCCCTACAAGGCGCGCTTAGGAACACGCGGACGGGCACAATAGGTGCATTCCGAACCGGGCTCTGCAAAGGGGCGCATTCCAAACCGGGCCCCACGACTAGGTACATTCTGAACCAGGCTCCACGAAGAGGAACATTCTGAACAGGGCTCCGCGAAGGGGCACAGTCCGAACAAGGCTTCACGAAGGGTCACATTCGAGCCGGGCACTGCGTAAGAGGCATATTCTGAACCGGGACATCCGAAGAGGCACATTCGGAACCAGGCCTTCCGAAGAGGTACATTCCGAATCGGGCCTTTTTGAAGAGGCACATTTCGAACCGGGCATCCAGAGGGGGCGCTCCGAGCAGGGTACTCGAGGTGTCGCAATCCGAACAAGGCGACTGCTCAGAGGTACGGTCACAGTAGATCTCGAGCTCTGGCCTCGATGGGCAAGTGTTACATGCTGAGAGCCTCCACACGGGCCCCTCACGGGACCCGAGGTTGGATAAGGGCCCCCAGGTCGCGTCACCGCAACCTGAAGGCCCTACGACCATTTCACTTAGGCCTGCATCGGAAAGACTTCAACTTTAAGTTGATTTCTTATTTATTTATTTACTGATGTGTTTTTACTAATGTGCTGTTGTCCGTTTTGTGGCCAGGTACACAGTTAGGACCAGGGCCGGAATCAGGCCCAGAGGCTGAGCCTCTAATTCATGTGCTGTTGTCCGTTTTGTGGCCAGGTACACAGTTAGGACCAGGGCCAGAATCAGGCCCAGAGGTTGAGCCTCTAATTCAGTTTGGACCGTTACTCGTTTTCAGAAAAACGTTTGGACCTTTACTCGTTTTTGGCCAGACGTTTGGACCTTTACTCGTTTTCGGACAGACTTTGGACCTGGACAGATGTTCAGGCCTGATACATTAAAACGTTCGGACCTTTACTCGTTTTTGGCCAGACGTTTGGACCTTTACTCGTTTTCGGACAGACTTTGGACCTGGACAGATGTTCAGGCTTGATGCATTCGCACAGGCCYTGAATCGGGCCAGGTACCAAATCGGCTAGACCTAGGCAGGGCCTGGACGTCCGGTAGGGACCCAGGCAGGCCGTTTTTTTGGCCAAGGACTGAAGCCTGCGATCTGGACCGCGGATCAGGCTTTGATCTACACGGCCCAGATTGCAGGCCGTGGACTACTGGGTCCAGCCCAGCACTACTTAAGCTGGGCCAGCGCCCAGTTCAGGGAGAGGTACCAGGAGAAATCCAGCGTTACGCTGGTTCAAGACTTGGCTGCTGCGCTATTTTGGAGACTCCCTGCTGCGCTATTTCAGCCTCCCTGCTGCGCTATTCGGAGGGCAGCTTCGCTGCTCATCGGCAAGGAAGGTCCAGTGCCAGAGAGAGAGAGAGAGAGAGCTCACCTGGGCCAGCGCCATAGCTGGCTCCGCGGTATCTGCAGTTCAGCCATCGCCAGGTAAGTGCAGAAAGCGCCCAGCTTTCTACCTCTTCTTCTTCTTCTTCTTCTTCTCCTCTCCTCTTCTCCTCCTACTCCTCCACAGTTCTTTCCTCTACTTCTTCTTCTTCTTCTTCGTCTTGATCAGAGTAGAGATAGAGGTGACTGCAGACATTGTTTGGGC